GTGGCCATCTCCTGTCCTGTGCAAACTGACTGACTGACTGACTGACTGACTGACTGAACAGAGCTGAAGGCACAATCTGGACGGGGTGTAAGTAGTATACAGAGGCGTTACGTTGTCCCTGCCGTTGGATGTCATGGAGATTCTACGAAAATATCTTACTTCTGGCTCAGAATCTGATGAATCTTCTGGTGCTGATATAGTAAGAATACATTTCAATTAATTATCTCAGGTTGACAAACTTGTTGACCGTTTCCAATCCGCTACACGTATCGAGGATCGGCGGGATTCCCTTCGCACCTTGAGAGCACTTTCAAAAGTGTGTATTCGTGATAATTTTTAACTGTGTGGATAATTGTAGAAATATCGTCTCGAGGTTGGGACTCACGCTATGCCGGTTTTTATTGAAACCTTAAAGAATGATCGGTAAGATATCGCTTTTCATGCCTTGATGACATCAATACTGATAGTGAGGATACCGAATCTGTGTGCTATTCCCTAGAAGCTCTCTACTCAATTGTTAATGATCACGATAGCGAAGAAGGTAGTGTCTGGCTCCAAATGTTTAAATTTTAGATCCTCACGAACTTATCAACGTTCCCACCGACCTGGGGGCGCAATTTACTGAAATATTCATCAAACAGCCTGAAAACGTGCAGCTCGTTCTCGAGTTTGTGGATGTGAGTTTAACACATCTCTTGATCTTGCTTGTTTTTAATTGACTTTAACAAAGTTTTGCAAGTTTATTGTTGGAAATACTATTCAATGAAATGTCATGATACAATGTTTTTCATTTTACCGAAATTGATGTGCCAAGTGACAGGAATAATACGATAAAAACAAGCAAAGATAAGTCAGTTGAGAATACATTCACGTCAATAACCATACGAAATATTTTGTGCGACCGTTATGTGGTTCCTGAACTCNACGGTCGCATTCTTAGTCTTATTTTATTGTCTAGAAAAATGCGTACGTCGAGCAACAGATGAAAGGACGAACCAAAAAGAAAACGACTGATATCGAGAAACCCCAAAGATAGTCATATTATGATAATCTGTAGAGGAGAGAGAGAGTAGCGTACAGTTGAGTATGCATGCAAAAAACGAAAGTCAATGTGCCGTGACCAACTAGGTGGTCTTGGTAAAACAAGGCCCGAATATGGGAAAGCTACATGTGCGGAGAGGGTTGATGGTGTCGCAACACTATAACCAGTTGCAGGATCGGGTATCAGCACAATTGATTTTATTCTGATCAAGAAGGGAAAGGGAAGAGGATGAAGCCCCATCTCACACATGACTACAGAGCAGGGCGGATTTGAGCTTCGTACAATAGAAGAAGGTAAGCTGGGGTGAAAAAACGCCTGGCGCGAAATAGAAATCCAATCTTGCGCGCAACACAAAAAGCAAGCTTAGCTATGAAAGGGGACCAGCATAAAGAAGTAGTTATAGGCAGTCCAAGAAGGGAGACCGAGTCTGTGGAACGCAGTTGGGTGGAATTAAAAGATAAATGGGGGGAGGGGAGAACAAATGGTATTTTAAAGAAATTGAAAGAAGAAAGATTTTAAAACTATTGAACGAAACGTGGTTTGCAATACCCCAGGAGGATGTGTTCGAGATCGGAGTCCAGTGACAGATTAACTGCACTGCGGTCACCATCGATGTTTATTTGGGCATGGTGAGCAGTGCGGTAGGAGAGGGGTCAGTGGAGGGTGGCGTAATCAGCAAAATAATGGATTGGGTTGGCGGTTTGGGAAAGGAGATCATTGATAAACAGAAGGAAGAAGGTAGGCGCAAGTACTGAACCTTGGGGAACACCAGCGTTCGCAGGGAATGGCTGAGATAGAGCACCGTCTACTCGAATGGAAATGGTTCGATTACTGAGGAAACTTGATATTCACGCTATGAGCGCTGGACGGGATCTGAACATGGGTAGTTTCCCCCGTAGAGCTTCGTGCCAAACTCGGTCGAAGGCCTTTGAAATGTCAAGCGAGACCAAGTGTGCTTCCAGGTGGTTATCGAGTGGAGCTGACCAGGATTATGAGACAAGGGTCAGAAGGTCACCGGTGGAACGATGCGGTCGAAAGCCACACTGGCGGTCTCTCAGTAGTCCTTTGCGTTCAAGGAGCATGCGTAGCTGGTCAAAAGTGATAGTTTCAAGTACTTTCGAAAGAACATGTGAGGGAAATTGTTGGGGTTAGAAAGGTCGCCGCGTTTGGGAATGGAGAAAATCACGGCGTGTTTCCAGGGGTTTGAGAAGGAAGAAAGTTAGAGGGAATGACTGAAAAGACGATCTAAAACAGAAGTCAGCTCGGGAGCACACATTTTGAGGTCGATGGGTGGAATACCGTCCGAACCGGATGGTTTGCGNGTTTAGAGAGCGCAATGTTTGACGGATTTTCCTAGTGCTGATATGAGGTAGAAAAGGGTTGCTAGTGAAGAAGGTGGAGGTGTAAAAAAATGGGGTAAGGTAGAATTGGCGGCAAATTGGGAGGCAAAATCCTCAGCTTTCTCTTTTGGTTGACATACAAGATCACCAGAGGAATTGCAGATAGGGGGAAGTTGGAAGGGCAGAAGTTACGGGAAATTGCTTTGGCAAGGGACCAAAATGTTCGGCTATCGTTGGCAGACGAGACCTAGTTTTCGGCTTCACGACGAACGAAGCGTTCTTTGGTCCTCTAAATGGTCGTCGAGCATCTGTTCCTAGCTTGCACGAAGTAAAGATGGGAGAGGGGAGTGAGCGAGCGGCGGAAGGCTAAACGTTCAAGGCGTACAGCACGGTTACAGGCATGGTTAAATCACTCAGGGGATTTGGGTTTGCCGGGTTTGGAAAAGTGCGGAATAAAAAGATGCATACCTTGAAGAACAAGTTGGGTGAAGTTGGTAACGGATTTGGAAACATCCGAAGTGAACCAGCAATCGTTCCAGGGATAAACAGTTGGGAAATCACGGAAATCATCCCAGTTGGCTGAGTTTTAGTACCAGAATGTGTGTCTCGAGGCGGGTGGTGGCTGGTAGTTTGAAAACCTAATAGAACAAGAAACAGTACAATGATTTGATGAGCCAAGAGGAGGGAGGGTACCAATATCTGAGAAGAAAGGAGCTGAAGTAAGAAGTAGATCGAGGGTGCGGGTACGATCACTAGCTCTATCAGAAACACGTGTGAGGAGATCAACTAGTTGGATCAGGTTGTTGAACAAAGTGAAGTGTTCGGCTTCGCGCCCCAAAAGAGAAGTAGCAGATGAATGTGTCAACCAGTCCTGATTGTGAACGCTCAAATCTCCCAAGATGGTGACATGGCAGTTGGGGTCGGTTGCAAACAAATGTTAACTGTTCGAAGATAGAAAATCAAAGATGGAAGAGTCGCCGCTATTGGGGGAACGATAAAGAACAAATGGTGTACAGAATCAATATTGCAGTTCAGTCTGCGAATGTTGGTGGGGATTATGAATGCATGTTTACAGTCTGAGTGCGTAGAGTGAGCGACAGTACGTGAGCGTTCGTGATTTTGTATATTCATGTTTATATTGTGAGGAAACCTGCAACCATGATCCTGAAACTTGGAGTGGCGGACCACGTAGGGCTTTAATGGCTTAATAGGATACCCTTGACGAACACCGCTACTAGATGCAAACGACCTACTCTACTCGCCGTAGACCCTTACGCAACCAGAAGTATGCAAGTAGAGCAACCTCAGTATGTCCACATAATTCTGCGGCATTGCTTCGCGAAGGACCGGACCTGTAAATGCTTCACGATCAACTGTGTCAAAGGCTCCTCTTAGGTCAAGGAGCACACCAACCGTTGACCGACGATGTGTATGGCGTAGCTTGAGGACTAGAAGCAGCGTGAAGATTTAGCCGAAACAACAGCGAAATGGTCGGAAATCTGCTTCTTGTTTTCGGAAATCTTTCTCCTTGAAGAGTGTCAGAAATCAAAGTACGACGGAGGGTAATACCTTAGTGACGGTTGAAATCAAACTTATTCCACGGTGGTTTGCGCAGTCGTTGTGAGATCTCTTAATAATTGGAACGAAGTGATTCGCTCCAGAATGATGTACTGTGCTCGGGTGACCAGATGTTACACATCAAATCAGTAATGGAAGCCACGAGGTCATCACCCCCCCCCATCTTGAAAAGAGTGTGTGTGGGGGGGAAGCCCATCCGATCCTGGTGCTTTTCCCTTCTACAGGGTTTGAGTGCGAGATGGTACTTCTGCTTTAGTAGTAGGTTCACATGGCACTGCCCACAGAGCCTTAACTACAACAGACGATATAGTCTGGCCAGCTGAACTGTTCGTTGAAGTACTCCGCCCACCGGTCAAGCCGTTGTTCCCTATTGTGAATAGCTTGCCCACTTTTGACGCGGATTGCTTCACTAACTGTGGTTCGCCGACCTCCATTGTTGCGTATCAGTTGGAACAGTCTTTGACTATTCCTTGATGCAGCTGCTACTTTCGTTTCACTAGCTATTATTGCCCACTAGTTCTCACGGTCTTCATTGAGGTTCTTCGTAAGCCGACGTTGCAGACGACCCCTAACCCTACTTTGATCCCGCGTCATCGAGATTTGCCGCTTTCTCTCTATCAGCGCTACTGACTCATCAGATATCCATTGCCTCAGCTAACTACCGCTTTAGATCCACAAGCAACCCTCGCAACGGAGTGCATTGCTCATCTCATCTGATCCTATTGTTCATCTGTACTACCACGCTGCTGTACTTTTATCTCGCCCTAGTTCTCAATCGGAGGGCGACATGAACGGCTGAGTGAGATAAGTGATAATCCTCCAACCGATTTTGATGGGTTTTTTGCGATCAGTAAGTCGGTAAGTGAACTGCATCAAAACTAATGCGTGATCAGATTCAACGCACGTGGTCCTATAGGACCTGCAGTTTTGTACTGACTCACGACAACGGTAGCTTATTGCTACGTGGTTGCTTTGAGTAAGCGTACCAGTTGAACTGAAGCGCCACATTTCTGTTCGGTGTGAGCTGTGTCGGAAGTTAGTACTGGAAAGGAACAGATGGTGATATGCGCAGAACTAAAGAAATCGATCGCCATTGTCTGTTCGCTGTCAGGACATGGCACAACGATCGCCTAGGCAAGCTTCCGATGCGCTCAGTTTTCCAACTTGAGCGTTAAAATCACACCTGCAAGAACAACTGTATCGGAGCTTCGGCTCAACCGAATGTGTTCGATGAGTTTATTATACAACCCATCTCCGTCAGAATTGCAGATCAAAAATGATTCATTAAACACCTTGGTGACCAAGTTAGCGCCAGGTTGACTAACCATTGCTGCTGTTTGCACAGTTCGGGAATGGTAATTTTGAATGGTTAGTGCCTCGGTGTATTCCTGAAGTCTGGTGTTGTTTGTGTTGTAGCATTTCTCAGCACAACAGTGCTTCATTTCAACCAGGTCTGCTGATAAGAAATGGTAGTAAGAACATTACCTTCGTTGGCTCGCTGCCCCATCCTTCCTTGTCTGCAGGCCACGAATTACAGTCTTTTGGACCCCGACCTGGAAGACTAGTGACGTTCTCAACCTCTGTGTTTTTCTTCATGCTTCGTCTCCACGTCATCTGTTGACCTCCACTCGGTAAACGGTGAATGTTCTATTAGGTTTACTACGATTAATAAAATATTATCGCCTATGTGTGACGAACAAAATGGGTGAACCTCATTCACCGGGAAATATTGTCCAACCATAATGACCGGTAATCTAAGCCCTGGGACTTGGAGTGGTCAACCAAATGAGGACAGGCATCAATCAAGCTGCTTACCGCCTATTTAGGCGGCCATACCAGAGTTTAGACCTCTAAACTTAAGGCTGAAAGAACACTAGTGATAGCTACTTAAACCACTACCACCCATAATGACCCATTAATATGCATTTCCTTAGATCACTTTCGTTTCTATCAGGTTCTGTTTATGATGGATGTAGAACGTATGCCCATCACTAGAAGCTGACTGCAAATAGTTTTTGACTTGATATGCCAGTTAAAAACTCGTGAGCGATTGTAGGATTTTGGTGGTTTTCCACTTAGTCATCGGGCTCCGAACAAATTTTCGGGATCATTTTCAATAGTCTGGCCACGATAGTTGAAAGCTGGTATGTTTTCGACCACTCGGACACCCAACAGCCTCTCTGTTCTCCCCGCGTAGGCTGCTCCATACCCACCTTGCAACTCATGGATAGTATGTGCGATTTGGTTGANTGTTTTCATCAAGGCTTCGGAATCTGGATTGTTGTAAAGCGAACAACCGGATTTGCAGCAAAATATGTGCGAGCTCCAGTCGCCCCAGCCGTCTTCCTATGAGTTGGCCAACATTATCATCAAACGAAATTTGAATAGAAACATTCTCGAAAGCTTGGGGTCGGCTTTTTCACTGTAGCTCTGTATGAAGCTAGCTTAGAGGCCATTTAGCTTCTGTGCGCAGAATTAGCTCACCGTCCACAATATTCGAATTGCACGACCGTCTAGCTCAGTC